ATTAAAAATGAGCCTGGTTTTTTTGAATAGAAGTTGCTGTTAAAACAGCCACAAATTCAACATCATGGGATGATGGAATGAAGATAAAAATGGGCACATTTAGAAATAGCTAAAGCCATCTGCAACCCACTGGGAAATATTTGCAGTGTGGTTAACAAAGCTAGGCAAGGTATCCCATATTTGGGTTTCTATATCCTGTTCCTGCCCTCATTTTATGCACAATGTACGTGATGCATCCAAGTGATCACATATTTCCTTGTATTGTTTAGGATGATGGTGTACATGATACATCAAAATGATCACATATTTCCTTGTACAGTTTAGGATGATGGTACAGCCAATTGATCTTGCCTGAAAGTCTCGATGTGGCATTTTGGGAAGGGTCCTGCTAAGAATAAAGATGATACGTGATGTCTACACACGTTCATGATCCAAGTCTGCTGAATTTGAAGTGATGTCAGCTTATAATTTTAGAAACACTGTAAATTTGTGAAAAATATTATACAGCAAGGGCCTGCCTCAGAGTTGTCACACTGAGTGACTGGCATTGCTCCTCAGTGGTGTCCTGCAGTCTGGGACATTGAGGAACTGGCTCTTTCAAGCACCAGTTAACAACATTTTACAGAGAAATAGAAAACCTTGCATTATGATCACATCAAATAAATCATGATTTGCATCCATGTTGTGTCCTAGAAAGACTTCTCATGATGAGAAGCAAGGAATTTACCTTCAGACAACCCTGTGAGGTGGATTACAGTACTTGCACCCTTTTGATAGGTGGAAATTAAAGCACAGGGATACTGAGTTAGTTAAGGTTACACAGAAATCCTAGCAGAAAAGGGATCATATTCCTTAACATCCTGGCTATGAGGCCAGAGCATGAACTCCTAGTTCCAGGTGCCAGAAACAGAAAAAAGCTGGTGAGTGCTAATTAACAGCTTGATCCTCAGCCACATTCACAGTAGAGGAATTAAACACTGTGTTAGGACCACGTGCTCAAACCTCACATTTGGGCTGAGTCAGGAAGAAACATTCCTGAAAGTTCACGTGTACTCAGGGAACAAATGTGAATAACCAGCAGACTGTGTTTTACAAACACCCTCCCCCCTGCACAGCTGTTCACTTCACTAACACAACATCACATGCTGTCACTGGGGTAGCACTGCATCCACTGGAGCATTTACAGATGTCATGTCTAAAACCAAACTGCAGTTGGCATCCCAGCACGTGCAAACAGTCTATCTGTCTTTGAACACGCCCCTCCAGCCTTGATGCAGGTTGCTGTTGCAGTGGTTCAGTAAAAAGGTAAGGCAAAACACTGCCAGATTTATCATTTTTCCATCAGAAGGGTTTTGAGAGCCGAAACTCCGTTTCTGTGTGTGCAGCAGTGCACACACAGCTCAAGACAGGGACATTCTTTACAGTATCTTCAGCTCCAGGCACATCTGACACCAGAGACAGGGAGACACCTCCCAACTTGTCAGGAGTACAAAGGCACAGGAGCCCTTTTTGCAGGGACAGACCACAGAAATACAATCACACCAAAGCAGCAGAGGGACAGACAGGCTGTTCCCGGGATTAAATCCTACTTCCGCAAATCTGAAGGTGACAACATTTCCCCAAGGTCGGAATTTCATTCTTTTTCTAAAATCTTCTTCTCCTTAGTTTCCTCTTACTCAAATTTTATACAGAGGTGAGTTTAGTGACTTCTGTGAGATTGAGTCAATCACAGAATATTCAGAGTTGGAAGGGACCCACAAGGACCATCAAGTCCAACCCTTAAGTGAATTGGCCCATACAGGGATCAAACCCACAACCCTGGTGTTATTTGCCCCATGCTCTGACCAACAGAGCTAATCTCAGGTTAGTCCCAGCTTACATTGCTGTGATAAAATCCATAGTGTTTCACCTGCATTTCTTCCTGCTCTTTCATGGGGACACTGAATACCCTGACATTTTGGAACCAGTTACTTTACAGAACAGCCTGAGTGTTACAGAAAAGCCTGAGATACTGTTAATTTTTTCTTTCAAACACACAAACCCCCAATCTACTGCAAATTACTTTGCAGGCTACATATTAGGACTCCCTCCACAAGTCCTCTCTAGTTTGAGGGTAAGTGAAACACTCCAGGATGGTTCATCTGTTTAGAGCATATTTGATTTTTATTTAGCTTTAATACCAGATTTACTGCACTTGCAACACAGGGATGGTCTTTCCAAGCGCAGTTAATCCAGGGCATCTGGTTTCTCAGCCACATTCAGCTCCAGCTGCTCTTCCATTTGAAACATTATAAGGTAAGTGAAAGCATCCAATGCTAGAGAGAGCTCCAAATAATTTTGGGTCCCTCATTCTAATGCCTGCCTGGCTTTTTGCTCTATGGAGGCAGATATTCCACCCTGAGTTATTCCTATTAAAGGGAAAACAGAAACAGAGGTTTTCTATTGTCAGCACAGCTCCCTCCACTTGATGTATTGAGCAAAGACCATAGCTATGCCTGAATTTTATTCCTAAATTAAGAATAAAAGAAGTAGTAACAGAGGCTAGAATTCAAGCCTCTCTGTTTTGGTGGCATCATGGTTTAACCCCCAGCTGGCAGCTAAGTACCACACAGCCCTTCTTCCCTCACTACCCTGCCCTGGTGGGGAGGAGAAGCAGAAGAGAAAGGTAAACCTCATGAGCTGAAACAGGAACAGTTTAACCACGGAAATAAAATACCCACAACTCTACTTCTCACAGAAAATCGCAATTTTGAGTTATATCGCTAAGCAAGGAAAAGGAAAAAAAAATCAGACCATTTAAAAACCCCACAGGAGAGAAAAGAATGGAATGCCAGTTGCTTCTGAGCTTACAATATTATCTTAAAATACAGAATATCAACTTCACAATTGCCTGTTATCCTTGCCAGGCTGCTTTTTAGCAAAAATTTATTTTTTAAAAAAATCAGACAAGTTCTGTTCGATGTCACTACAATTCTGATTTCAGTGTCTTGAAGAAACAGGCTCAAAACTAAACTTAGTATCACAGGGACTTGAACCTGCATTGTCAAGTTCGAGGACAATCTTATAATCAATCCCTGGCTAGAAGTAATCTTTATAGTTTTTTTTTTATTATTTGTTTGTTATTGTTTGAGGGTTTTTTTTTTTACCAAACACATTCCTGCAAAACATTTCCATTCAATCAAGCAATATTTTTGAGGGTAGCATTTGACATGCTTTTCCTACCTGCTCCAACCATAGTTTTAATATCTGTAATTTATCATTACTATGAACAAATATAAATAAACTACAGCAAGAGCATTGATTTTGGAATGCTGGCAGATAGAGCTATAAAGCCTGAAATCAGTTACTGCCCTCAGCTGTTTAAGCTGCTACTTTTCCTGAGGTTGCTTCTATAAAAGAGACAGTTTAACAGGGCACACAACCTCTAGCTGGTTGCTGTTTACCCTTCAGGAAACTCAATTGAAATTAGCTATAATTTACTCCCTACTACCTAGAAATATGTACTTTCCATGTAATTGTACCCCTTTCCCTTATTTTGCCGCTTCTTTATGTGCTTATTTTATTTCTTTCAGATGTACATCTGCCACTTTAGAGCTTTTAAAAAATTTCTGTTATGTTTTAGCATCATTACAGACAGATACATAATTGAACAAAAAATAAAGCACCTGCTACAAGACTAATAAGGGTAAAATAAACCTAAACTTTTCACTGACCTTTCTGGAACTAACAGAAATCTTAATTCTGTTGAAATACTTCCAGCTTTTCATTCCTGCCAGACCAGACAGCCAAACCACCCCTCATTTCTGTAGCACAAACACATTTTAAAGGAGCTTAGAGGCCCTTTTATACCTTCCCATCAGGCACCAATAGGCCTTAAATATCCTGAATGGCAGAACCTGGGCTGTCTTGCCTATGAGGCCAGGTGTGAGAGCTGATGGAGTTGTATCCCGGATTTCACTGGTGCTGAAGGAGAAGGGATGAGCAGGCAGAGAGTCTTCCCTAAGCAGTCCCCACCGATGTCGGGGATGTTTTCTGCTGCTTAATGGCCACCAAACAAACTATGTTAATGAGTCAGCTCTGATGCCAGGCTGGACAGTCCAAGGCACAAGTTGGAATGGGCAGGGGATATGCTGAGTAGCTGCTGAGACCTGAGGACCCCCCCGAAAGTCTCCCCAGGCTGTTGTGGAAGCTGTTACCCCACCAGATACAAAGAGGTAGCATCCAAGAGACTGGGACGAGGGAGGAGGATAGAGAGCCTCTTATGTGGAAAACAGGTATGAGTTTGAACACGAGCACTGTGAAGAGCAAATGATTTGTGTTGCTGAACGAGTAGGTGCGTGCCCTCTTCTCACTATCTCACCTGCCCCCCACGGGCCGTGCCTGCGCTCGGTGCAAGGGCGGGGACGAGCCCCCGGTGCACCTGGAAGCTGCTGCTGCTCGTCCCCCTCCTCTGTGCGTCTCCCCAGCCTCCCCCTGCCCGCCCTAGGGCCGGGCCTTGGCACTGAGTTGGAAACGGGGATGGCGGCAGGTCCTGCCTCCGCCTCTGTCTCTGCCCCGACCATGTGCGGAGAGGAGAGGGGCTGCGGGGCGGGCGGGCATCCCTCCATCTATCCCGGTATCCATCCATCCCAGTATCCCTGCATCACTCTGCTGTCCGCCTGGAGAAGAGAGCAGCGAGGCTGCGGGGCGAGAGAGGCCGGCAGGGCATCCCTGCATCCCTCCCCTGCCCAGCCGGAGGGAAGAAGGGCTGCAGCGCGGGCGGGTATCCATCCCTGCATCCCTCCCTGCATCCCCGCATCACTCTCCTGCCCACCCGGAGAGGAGAAGGGGTGCTGAGCGGGCGGGTATCCCTTCCCGCACGCCTGCATCCCTCCCTCCCTGCCCGCCCGTGCCCGCAGCCGCCCATGACATCACCGTGCGCGGAGCCCCCGCCCGTGCGTGCGCGGGGCTGTGCCGGAGGCCGGGGCTGCCGCGCCCGCCGCTCGCCCGCCCCTTTCCCTCCTCTCCGCTCCCCTCCCCTTCCCTTCCTTCCCTCCCTCCCGCCGGAGCGCCCGCGGCCCCCGCTCCTCGGCCTCCCTCGCGGCCGCAGGGACGAGGATGGCGGAGAGCGAGGCCGAGACCCCCAGCACCCCCTGCGAGTTCGAGAGCAAGTACTTCGAGTACAATGGGGTGCGGCTGCCGCCCTTCTGCCGCGGGAAGATGGAGGAGATCGCTAATTTCCCGGTGAGGGACAGCGACGTCTGGATTGTCACCTACCCCAAATCAGGTAGGCGGGCGGGCGGGGGCTGCCCCGGGCGCTGGGGCGGCTCCTCCTCCTTCGCCTCTCCCTTCTCGCCGCGCAGCCGGTGCCGGGAGCGGGGATGCGGGAGATGCTCCGCGGCGCCGGGAGTGGGGGATGCGGGGGATGCTCCGCGGGATGTCGGGGCGAGGCCTGAGCCCGTTCACCGCCCGGGGGATGATGCCCCTTTGCCCGGGGGCTGATGGCCTGCAGAGGGGGGATGATGCCCTGCCCTCGGGGATGTCCTGCGCTCGGGGATGATGCCCTGCGGCCTCCGCAGCTCCGCGGAGTTGAGGGGCGGCCGATCCCGGTCCCGGAGGGGGAGACAAGGACCCTGTGGGGGACCTCCGGAGCTCAGGCACACGCCAGTGCCAAGCTGGTGGTCCCCGCCTGGGTGGTCCCGTGCCCTCCTGCCAAACCCCTGGAGGATAAAGATGCTGCTCGGGGTGAAGGCAATGTGGAGCGGCAGGAAGGTCTTAGGAATAAATCCCGGTTTCTGCCGCGGTTTGCCGTCTGCTCCCCAGCCTTCCCTCCGTCCTGCGCTCCCGAGGCGGCCGCCCGGATCGTTCTGGGAGAGCATGTGCTCCAAGTGCATCCTTGCTGCACTGTCTGAATCACCAGAAACACCCCCCGTTTGCAGTATAAGTGCGTGTTGCTCCAGTAGGCACCTCCTTTGGTTGTTTTATACCATTCGTGTGCCTGCTTTTAATGTCATATTCCTTGACCTCTTATCCTCTCTGTTTCCAAGCAAAAATGTTTGCAGAGTATTAACATGGATGTAGTGCGGCCTGCAAAGAGACAGGCAATATGGGAGCCTTGTACCCCACCTGATAAAATCAGATAAACTCTTTATTATTAAGTGCATTCTTGAGTGACTTTTTTTTTTTTCTGACAATAAGATGATCTCTTTCTAGAAAATTCAAAGTCCGCTGGAGATAACAGATGTGAGTTCTGTAAATGCCCTTGTGAAATGATGTTTTCAGTAGAGTAGGTTTCTGAGTTACTTCACTGTTTGTTGTATGAATGGCTAATGCTTTTCAATTTCTTAGTGTGCTGCTGCTTCGAGCAGGCACATTTCCTGTGTTTCAAGTATTTCTAGTTACGTTTTTTGGTATTTCATTACTCATGATGCTGTTCAAGACTGGCAAGAGCTTGATAGATAATCTCTTAGATAAGGGATAGTATGTAGATGGATGGCCCCCAAAATATGAGGATTAGGAATCTACATTTTAATTTTTCTTTTAAATTGTTCTTAAAAATTTATAGCATGCAGCATGAACACTATTTAATTCTTTCCATTTTAAGATTCCAGTTTTGAGAATCTTGTGTTTACAATGTTCCTGTGTTAGTATTGCTCCCCAACTTCATGATGGCATATTGTTGAATATCCTCAGCTAACCTGTGTCCAGCAGCCAGCCACAATATCATTAATACATCTGGCAATAGCTTAATTTTGATGGCTAGACACTTGGCTGTGGGAAGCCAGCTTGCATAGTTGTATTTAATTTGCTATTTTGTGACTATAGCAACAGAATGTGAGGTCTCTTGTGGCCCCAGCTGAGGCCAGTGAGAGGGAGCTGTCCACTTAGAAAGTTAGTGGCAGTGGAAAAAGAGGATTTACTGAGTCACTGGGAGAAGGAAAAGAAGATTGAGAACTGAGGCACCAAAATTGAAGGTACAGTGTTGTGGGAGGAGCTGGGGTCAAAATAGGTGCCACAGTGTTTTACTTGCCAGGAAAGCGAATAACCTGGGTGGTGAGTAATCCAATGTCCTTGTTGTGGGAAGTGGGCTCTAGACAATAATAATGTATTCAAGCTCCACCTTTCTGTAGCCTGAAGTCTGTTAAGACCCTTGGAACTTGTCAGCTGATCCTGTGTGGCTTTACAGCTTATTTAGGGCTTCTGAACGAATTATCAAGGGTCTGCTGACTGGGAACAGGCACATCAGTAGGAATTGGGCTGCCGTGGGGTTGATTTAGCCAAGGTCATGCAGGAAGCCTACAGCAAAGCCAGGGATTAAATCCAGAGCTACAAGCACCTCTGCATTCCCATAACTTCATCTTCCTGTGTCTCAGGAGCATTGACAAAGACTTTTTCTGTGTACTGGATCTAATCGGAATTTTCATAATGTTGCTGTAATGAAAAAAAAGTAGGTTTACAAAACAGATTTAATGCCCAAAATGCAATTATTTGGGATGAAATGGTTCGGCTTATTCTGGTAATATTTGGAGGACATGGTTGGGACCACTTATCTAGGTTCTGTTAATAAATTGCAATTGAACAATATTCCAGGAATATTTTTGACAGCAGGATTTTAGGATAGGAAATCGAGGTAGTGGTTGGAAATAGTTAGAGTTATCGGTAAATTGGGACTGATCCAGGAAAAAGCTTGTCCAATAGTGGTAGAAAATCAAATATATCAGTGGCCTTACTGGGAATAATGTAATAAGCCTAATGGAAAATGACTCTGCTTTAATGTGATTTCCACTGAAGGATGGCTGAATAATGATACTCCTTATATCTTTAATTATTCTTAACACCTGTGTCCAATCAATGGTAACAGCTTTTGGGAGCTGCTGGACTGGGAGAAGCTTTTGCCTAAAACCCGGAGATTCACCCAGACATGTAAATATGTGAAGGTGCATATTTGCTTATACTCTAATCATAGAAAACCTTTTTATCATGATGCATAATTTGAAATCAGGTGTGCTATTGATGTTGCAGAAATGAGTTGAAAGCTTCATGTTTTGTGTAACTTTGTAGTGCAGGATGGACAGGCTGAATGGGACACACTGAGATTCACAGGAGCAAATATAAACCAGAATGCCGTTGTCTATAGAATTAAATAACTGGAGCTCACACAACAGATTGCTTCACAGATAAGATACAGATGCACTGCTCACAGCAAACACTGTGCCTCTGTCACAACTTGCCTTGAACCCTCCCATACTGGGGCCTTTTTTTTGCACCCTACTTGAAAATTAAAATTCTCCTCTGTAGACTTAAACTGCAGAATTAATGAATAAGCAAATTCTTTCAGGGTATTCCCTCAGTCACCATGCTAAGACTTGGATTAGCTGTCTGTGTTAAGGGCAATGATTTCAGTGGAATTAAATCAGTCCCTAAAGTAGATGTAGGATTGAGTTCAGGTTCACTCAGTGTTTTGTTGTGTCTTATGATGCCAGCCCTGACTGTACCTGATCTGTCCATTTGCTTTGCTCACACGTGGTGTAACAGCAGCTCTCTTAACACCATCTTGCCTGTGTTCTAAATGAACATGTACTTTGCATTCTTGGGTCAAAGCCCGCAAATTAACGCCTTTTGAAAAACTGATAATTGGAGAAAGTGAGATATTTGCATTAATAATGAAGCTCCCTCCCCCCTGTTGGTTATTTTGCCAAGTAATTTCATGGAGTTCTGCATGGGAAGATGTCAGTTGTTGGGCAAATATCAGCTTCAAGTCCAGCCAGTTCATGAGAACTTGCATTTGGTGACAGACAATGGGTCAAAAGAGCAAGTGTTTTGTGTGACCTTTACCTGTCTGGTGTCATTTTTCATAGATTTTCAATTTTCCTCGCAGCACTGGATTCTTGTAAGTGCCCATTGGCTGGTAGGGAACAGGATGGCTGACTCCAGGCCTTTGGCTTTATGAAGTGCCAACAGGGAATTTGCAGATGAGTTCAAGGGAAGCTTTTGTGTGTGTACATTCACAGAGTTCTCCTCTTTCAAGTTCTTTCCCACCTACCTCTGGTGTTATGTGAAATGGACCACAGAAAAAGTTAATTTGAGATGTCCCTTGTTTGTTTAAAAGATTCTGTGTGTACAAAAGGTTGTGCCTATCATTGCCTCTGTCAGTGAAGTGTCTTGCATGCACTGTGTGTTCCCTGGCTGCCCCTGTTCTGTGAACCTCTCCCACTCCATGCATGCCACTCTTTTATCCTCCTTTTATTCCTGCCACTCCTGAATCCAACACTTGCTGGCTCACCAGTCCCTTTGGCTGGTGGAGGAGCTCAGGTCTTCCTCTTTCCTCTGCCACCTGACAGGGGCTCTGTCTGAATTCTTCCATTTCCCTTTACTGTAATCCCTGTTAATCCTTCCAAACCTGGGATGTTTATGTGCCCCAAGGTTTTCTTCTATTATGGGAAAAAAGTTATTTGATCCATTGGCCATCAGAGCCATAACAGTGACAACTGCTGGGCTGTGAACCAGATGCAGAGGGTACAGTGTAAACCCCAGTTTTCTTCTTTGTCTGATTCCCCACTAAAATTGATAGACTTCAACTCATCAATATATAAAATATTTATTGATCACACTCAGAAGTTAATACACTTCAGGCAAAGGGAGGCTTGAACCACTGGGGATGTAGACAAATGTACTTTTTCTTTGGCTATGAGGTTGGTTTAAGGATTTATTATCTCTTGTTCCTTCCCCTTCCAATCAGTCTTAGCTGTGGGACCATGCTATAAAAACACGGTGGCAAAATCTTGATTTAAGAAACACATTATAAAGAAAATGTACCAATTGAGTAAAACAAAGCAGGATTTTGGCAGTCTTGTGCAATCCTACCCTTCCTGTTTCCCCTAGACCATAAAAATCTCTTGGCAGTGGGGTTATATTTACAGGTAAGATTGGTGTCCTTGTGCTTCACAGTAATATTCTTATTATTCAATGTAAAGAGTATTATTGCTTGACTAAGATTAGGTGGCTGCACATGGCCTTTTGTCGGTATTATTTTTTAACAAGAGTTTTGCAGTTGCAAAAGAGGCAGATGCTGCTGTGCTGGATTTATAGTTCTGTTCTCTCTGCAGGATTTTGGTGCCTCGAGCTTAAACCATTTTCCTTTAAAGAATTAATGCAAATATTACTGGCCCAGAGGCATGCCTCAAGAAATGATGAGGTTGGCTTAAAAATCAAAACATTTTTCACAAAGTATGTTTGGGATTCTTTTCCTCTCACCTCTGGTTTTTGAGACAATATTATCCACACCCT